TACTTCTAATGGATTGTACAGTCGTTGGGCACTTTTTGCTCTAAAAACCAAAATTTTAATTATCTGTTCTAAAACCATATTATATTATGTAGTGGTGACAAGACATTCGGAACACCCTGTAGATTTATTAAGTTCTGCTGTTTCTCAGAGATCATTTAAGACTACTAGTGCCATGATAATGTATACATACAAGAAATATACTTTTACTGGATTGTCATTGGACTCTTTTTGATTTAAACAACAAAAACTGAATTTAATCAATGGGTTGATCTATTGAACCTTAAACCAAATTAAATTTCTGAAGTTTTCATCCAAACAAGGTCTGGATGTTTCATTTTATTTTTCAATTTTCGAGTAAGATGCTGTATATCAGGATCCATAATTGTGTATAAACGGCATAAAGTTCATGTAGTGTCTGTTTTGGTTCAAGTCTGTTTGACAGTCTCGGTCATTATCCTGATTTTATTGGGTATATCTTGGCAATATTTGGGAACGCTGGGATTCATATTATTCTCAAATGATGTCATGCGTAAAGCAATTACAAAGTGCTAGACCGCACCGTATCATATATGCATAATTACACACACGCACAAACACACACACACACACACACACACATATATATATATATATATATATATATATATAGTCATCCACGGGCAGGCTGTTTCACTGTATCACAGCTCATGAGTGTGGCTAGACATCCGATGCTTCAAGCTGGATTCGAAACCTGACCGATTTGGTATCAGTCAGAGGTTCAACCCAAAGCTATCGCCGCACGGAAGGGGAAACAATTTAAACATGTTGTCTATATATTGAAAAGGTGTAATGACATATATATGCACACACACACACACACACACACACACACACACACACACACACACACACACACACACACACATACATACATACATACATACATATATATATATATATATACATATATATATGTGAATAAAGACAAAAGGAAAACTTATCTTAGCCAACGCGTTTTGTTCTTTGAGGGACTTCATCAAGGATTTTATTTTTATAACAATATTTATGTACAAGAGCAAAAATGTTATTGCTTTTTAATTTTTTAAGTTCAGGAACGCTCATAAATATTCTTCAGGTTTACTGAAAAGTTAGGCAAACTATGGAGGGCACGAAGTGACACAATGGAATGTGCAATACACCAAAGTTGGTAAGTGATGTTCATGAAACTTTTATGCAAATTAGTATTTAAATTTTCAAGTTTTAGTTTGGGATTAATTTTTATTGTATATTCTGAATAACACGAGGCGATGAATTTAACCATTTTCTTTTAATTATCTACAATTTTATAGTCATATATTTTGGCCTGGGAATAGTAATTCATTCAAGAATCTTCTGTAAAACATCCGGGTGTAGATTTATATTTTGTTAAGATTCAATAGTGGCACTCTCGAAAAGTTTCTTTCTAAATAAGTTACTTTGTGTTTTAATAAGCGTGACATTCTTTAGAGTGCTCCTAAAATTTAAAAATTGATAACCAATAGCATTTTGTTCTTGCATACAAAATAAAATGCTTGCATTTGACATTATAAAGTCCCTCAGAAGATAAAGTTTCACGGAAGCGTTAATAATAATAATAATAAAGAAGCAAACTCACAATAATATCAATTATGAACATGGCCACAACGCGCTGACCATGTTCGGAAATTAAGAACATCCCCATCCTTCAGTATTTACATTAGTCGGACTATTGTCCTCATCTTTGTCGCCATATTTGTCACAACGTTTCGGCCGTTGTACGCTCCGGCCTTCTTCAGGTGGTTGGAATTTCGAACTGAACCCTTTATTTCGATCACCGGGGTAGACTGTTCTAATTGTCCTCAAGGACACATGGCACAGTGGATAAAGGCGTTGGTTAGATCCAGTGACAGACCCAAAGAAGGTGAGTTCAATTCCTGGTTAAGGCAGTGGAGAACTTTCAGAGGGAAAATTAGCAGGAGATAACTGATAACTGACATCCATCAAACATGGCACGTGGAATTAGAACAGTCTACCCCGGCGATCAAAATAAAGGGTTCAGTTCGAAATTCCAACCACCTGAAGAAGGCCGGAGCGTACAACGGCCGAAACGTTGTGACAAATATGGCGACAAAGATGAGGACAATAGTCCGACTAATGTAAATACTGTACATAATACCTCATCTCAGAAATATAGACAAATCCCCATCCTTATATATAAACATTAAAAAATCTATATATTCAGTTAAACAAAAAATATCCTTGATAATTGCTAAAAGATTAACTGAAAGTACTCAGATCCACAAATCACTGGGACAGTTTTTATACTCTCTTTGTCTAGAAAAGAAAGCACTTGTGCAAATGAAATGAAAATGTAATAAAAAAGCTTAATTGTAGTACCTTGTCAGTAGTCCTCAATGAAACTCGTATAAAAGAGAGATTGCTGCCCCAAAACACAATATATATATGGATAGATAGATAATTTTAGTGGTAAATATACACATATACACATACATATGCAAAATATATAAATATACATACATACATACATATTTGTATAAAAAAAATTCCAAGAGGATAGAATCCAGGTAGAACTCAATGTCCAGGACAGAGTAATAATTTCATAAAAAAGGCTCAAACACTAATTTTCTATGGTCATAATTTATTTCAATGGAATCGTAAATACAATCCAATTCATCAAGCCTACAAATTCAAAAAGAAAACAGAGAAAACAACTCCGGAAATAAAAAAATAAAATTTAGAGAGAGTGTAAGTATGAGAGTGTGGGACGAATGTTAGAGCTATAGAGAGGGGTAACAGACGAGAGAAGGTGGGGGATTAAACCTTAACAGAGAGAAGTTTTAGAGAGGGGGAGTCAAAGACGGTTTAAGTGAGAGAAATATGAATGTAAATATGAATTTATATATATATATATATATATATATATATATATATATATATATATATATATATAATGCATGTTTCATTAAATAATATAGACAAGTTTTGTCTATTTATTTTAAGCAGATTCCTTTCATATCGTCTGATAAGCTTAATAACATTATCATTAAAAGACGAAAGAAAATCACCATATTGATACATATTTTTTAATCCTATCGAAGCTTTCGGCTTACATAAGTCATTATCAAAGATGACAATTACATTACAATATATTAAACAATACACGGACAAAACAATAATAATAGTCTGTTTTTGTTTACATGGAAGATTTTTAAGCAACGACAAACTCGTGCATACGCGACGCTGGAAGCGAAAATCGCACCGCAGTTCATGCCGTCACACATGACCACGCGACAATGAAAACGAGAAGTATCAAGTATGGGAAGCTGTTGGTATAAACCAGTGGCTTCTGTTATCAATTATAGGCATTTAAGTATATTTGTAGAGATTTCATAATTGATTTTGTTCAGGTTAGGCTTCACAACTATACTTAAACAGGAAAACAATAAACGAAAACTAAAAATTCTTGAAGCTATATACATAAAACAGGCTGACGATTGCGTCTAGCATGAAACAGCCTGTCGCCTGTGAGTTTTGATTCAATGTTCACTTATATATATATATATATATATATATATATATATATATATATATAGATAGATAGATAGATAGATAGATAGATAGAAAGACAGATAGACTCAACGAAGGGCAGTTCGAGTTGTTACTCAAATTTCACGCTCTCGTGATCGTCAGACGAGTAATTTTTGGCTCAGTCTAGGTAGTATAGGCGTTGAAAATATTAATTTACTGGATAGGTACGTGATTTTTTCTTATGTAATGTATGAGGTCGTCTGGCAAATGTGTCTTTTGGTGACACTAACATAGTTGGGTTTTGTCGAAGTATTATAATATATATA